AAATATTTCGGTGGTACGGGTATGTAGGCTAAAGCTTCAGCAGGCCCACACACAGGCAAAAGCTGCTCTATGTGAACTCTGACCCAAGTGACAGTGATTAGCCATAAATCACTGACAAATGAAGTGCTTTAATGGAATCTTTTTTTAGTTTAGACATTTTCTTATTGATAAATTGTATTTAATTCATTGGTGTGTAATTTAATTTTTATTTTATTTGACACTTTTCTTTTATTCCATTCTTAATACATAATTCATAGCTCACTTATCTTGAGTGCGACATTTCGTTTGGAGCTACTTTACAATTGTCATGACCTTCGTTCAGTGTCAACGAAAATTGTAATTCAAAAAGTCAACTACTACGCAATTATCACTTTGACCGTGTCAAAAATGAAGTTAAAATCATTCATGACACTGACACGGAAAAAAGAATCGTCAAATACCGCAAAATTTTTAGTTATGTACCGATAATCCTCCGCCGCAAATTAACTGCGGCCACTACGACCTTGACGGAGGATTAACTTTTAATCCCTATATGTACATACAGAAATGTTGAAGAGCTGTCATACGTACAAGGATTTTCATACGTACAACTGTTTATGTAGACGAAAAATTCTCCCCACGCTCAATAGAAATGTCAATATTGCAAGCAATAAACGTCACAGCTATCTCCTGGACTAACTGTTCTCGCAGTTGCTAGTGTGTTCGTGTGTTCGCTCTCACCGCAGGCATTTCATTTTAAAATTCTTGTTCACTCAAACCAACTACATACATATATTTCGGATAAGCAGCAATAGTGACAAATCAGCTATAGTTTCCCGCCGTCTAGTGGCGTGGCGCGTTAATAACGCAACACCCCGCTGACACTAAGATCCCTTATTTTACCTACCTAACTCGCCTAACTGCTAAGTAGTATGGGTGTGTACACACGTATCTTGGCCACTGATAAGCCAACAATGATAAAGTAGCTACACAGCCAAAAAGTCAACAGCGCACAAAAGATGGGCATGAAGGTCAATTTGCGTTTTTCTGTGTCAGGTTGTTTTTGTTGACTTTGTCTTACCTGTGTGCTCTTGAGGCAGGGCCGTGGTATATATTTAGTCGCTGTGTTGCCAGTTAGCGTTGCCAGCCATAACGAATTGTGTAGCGAATTAGGTGGAAGAAATTCGCGGAAAATGTGTATACTCATCAGGTGTGCGAGAATTTGCGGCGGTCAACGTGACCAACCAAAAGTTAACCAAATTTTTATGGTTAGACAATTTTATGGTTCCTAGAACTTTAAAAATTAAATTTTCCATATTTTTATACCTTTCATGAGCATGAAATGGTATTATAACTTTGGTCCGATGTTTGTAAGTACCAGAACAAAAAGAGATGAAAATGTATACTTATATGATCAGAACGTCGAGCTGAGTTGATTTAGCCATGTCCGTCTGTCCGTCTGTCTGTCTGTCCGTCTGTTTGTATGCAATCTAGTCTCTCAGTTTTCGAGATATCCGGATCAAATTTGGTAGGTGGGTGTATTTTTATAATGTATTAATCATTTGTCGGAACCGAAGGAATCGGACCACTATAACATATAGCTCCCATACAACTGATTGTTCAGATATGAGATATTTCGTTATAACTTGCCTTGATTGTTCAGTTATGGGGTTTTAATGTAAAACTAATTTATTTGTATGTAGGAAACTAAACCCAATAAATTGTGTTACCGGTTTACATACTGATCACATAGCAGTGAAAATCACTTAGATTGGTGCCATATAAAGTATATCTTCCATACCTCTGATTGTTTAGATGCGATTTTTTATATAAGTATGTAACTCCTCTACCGATGTATCCAGATGTATTCAAAAGCAGTAATCTGTCAAAGTAAAATTTGCAGATATTCATGAAAGGTATGAAGCCTTCGGCATAGCCGAAGACAGCACTGCTCTTACTTGTTTTTTTTTTTGGTTTTGTTATGAATGTGTTTAAATTGGAAAAGAGGTTTTAAGGAGCCAACCCGAAATCCAGAATCACTAAAGACATATTTTAGAATCTTTTTAAGATAAGATTAATATTTTAGTTAATATCTACATACTTAAATAAGTACGTATTAGGGTTAAAAAATATGAATTATACAGTACATTTACTTCCTAATTCACTGGCCGAGAATAAATACTGTGACGAGCACTCCGATATTATACCTAGTCTCTCTTTGAAGCATTTAATAAGGGTAAAAATCACTAATCAACACATTCATATTTAAACTGGTTAAACAGGATGAACCATTTCTAGTCCCAGGAGAAAACTTGCATCCTCAACGAAAAAGCTCTTAAAGTAGCTTCCACGATCTAAACTAATCTATGTCGAATGCTGACTTGGCTGCGGGAAAGAAACCTTTTTCCCATAAGCTAGTGTTTTTTGTAAGGTTTCCTGTAAACATGGAGCACCACAATTTACTTTTAGAAGAAAACACCCAAAGCATTTGTTTTAAAAATTTCGAAGATTAAGTTATTCCTCCTCCATTAAAAACTCAATATTGAAAGCTTAACTAATGACAATGCAGGAAAACTATTAAACTGACTTTTAGTACTGAGTTAACGTCTTTATATAAACCACAGATTTGAATAAGCAATACATGTATGTAGTTAATTTTTACGTAATGAAAATTAAAAAAAAATCACTCCCTAAAATTTCTGGATCTGGCAACCTTACAAGATTCGTTTTAAATTACTTTAAATTATATTGCATACTTTGTCAGATATGACACTATGCACTCAAATTAAATGCTCGACAAAAATATATATAAAAAAAAAAACAAACACAAATGCCCATACACGTTCATAAACACGCTCCTTGTTAGCACCCAACTCAAGCGACAAACAGGTGAATCTGTCAAAATGTCTGTAACGTTAACTTCTTCCCTTTTTCAACGGCTGCTGGGCAAGCATTTTCTATGCATTAAAAATAAATTATAAGTACCTCCAACGGCGCAAAGTATGTACTATTTAGATACTAAAAAATTCAAATGCTTTTACATTTTTGGGTCCAGCTGACCAGTGCATGCTTGTGTGTGTTTGTGTGTGTGTGTGTTTGAAAACCATTTAACGTCTTATCACATGCTGATGCATTGTTTTAGATAAACAGTCATTTTCCTTGAACTTAGTTTCACCTAAAAATAAAAATAAAAAATCTCTTTAGGAAAGTACATACATACATACATACATACATACTATTTGGTTATGCACCCCATGCATGTTGCGATTGCGATTGCGGTATACATAAGCATTTCTTTAGTGTTAGTATGGCAAAATGTTGCACATTTAGAAATGAATGTATGTATATATGTACCTATGTACGTATGTGTGTATTGCGGATGACCGTAGCGAATGCATTCAGTTATGGTAACTGAGAAATAGTTGAAAATTCAAAGAGGAGTGGCAGCAACATTCGTAGATATGTATGTACATATAACAAATGTGGTGTTGTGTAAAGAAGTATTAAAGTTAGAAAAGCCTTCGATGGATCTAGCTGATATATATGGCTCTGTTAACTATATGAAAAGTAAGTAAAATACATATATATTTATGGACTGAATTTTAGCATCGGAAATCATCGCTTCACGCTCGCTGAATTTTGCAGAGACTTATCGAGACACCCTCGTCAGGCATGACGATTAGCATGCCATATGGCCCACTATGCCATGCTTCTTTTTTATATGTATATGTAAATAGTTAATGTCAGGGCTTGATAGCACTGGTAACATGTTTTTCTGGGATTTGGTTTTACTATTTTTGCTTTCTTAAAGATATCCTTGTTTATTTGATAATATATTTTAAGTCAGACTAACCAGACTGAATAATATTTATGCTAATCGTCAAGGTTGATAGTCGATTTTAATTTGTGTCTTAAAAGTGTTTCTGTAGAGTATAAGTGATTTGTGGGGCCGAGCGGTAAATGGTGACAAAAATACTTTTTACACTCTAACATAAAACAAATCAAATTTTAGGTACGTCCCTTTTGCATATCATCTGCAGACTGTACGCTTCAAAATGACTGATTCCCATACAAAAGTATTAAACGTGAGAAAAAATAGTTCAGATAACAAAGTGCATCAAAATGGGAGCAAAAATTGTATTTTTCTATATTTTATATGGGTATCTATCTTTCACTATACGGTTTCCTCAATTTGCTTTGGAGCATAGTTTTACGAGTACTTTATGACGTTACGCTAGAAATAAAAATCGAAAAATAACGATTTTGGAACGATTTTAAAATAAAAATCAAGATATTTAACGGTTAATTTCGGTGCCTGCACCACAGTCGTAATAAATGACAATGAAGTTATTTTAGAATCAATTTAAAAGCTCTCTTTAGACGACCCATAGATCCTTCAGATTGCATTTCCTCTTGCTCTGTTGCTTCTTAAACTTTTCGCCTTATACCTGGAATAGTGATAAAAGAACACCAAATAAATAGTAACACACAAAGTTTTTGTTTTTTATAATTTTCTCTTTTAATAAAAAAGTTTTATTTGATTTAATATTTTTGTGTGATTTTTCGTCTTTTCGCTTTTCTTCTTGCACAATTATACAACTCGCTATATTTATTATAATACAATTGGTTTTATATATACTAAAAATAAAACAACAAGTTCAACGACTTAGGTTTGTTGATTTTATCTAATATGTTTAAATTAAAATAATACATAGTTAATATATTATAATAATAGTCATTTATTTTCCCAGACTAAACTAAGCTAATTAACTTGCAAACTTAAATCAAAATAAAAACAAAATACAATTAAAACAAAACTAAATAAAGGACTGGAGATGGAGGATAGCTTGAGTGTACATATTTTTAAGTAATAAGACAATTCCAACTGAGTGGATGGGGAAAATAGAGGTATTTAAATTTAAGTAGGTACGCATATTTACAAGTTATGTGGCAACGTCAATGTCTTTAAAAACGGTTTGATCAATCACTTGTTTTGTTTTCATAAAATGCAACTAAATTTGGCTCTTAACGAGCTCCTTTTTACGGAGTTAAGCGCTTTTTATTTTTACATACATACATGTGTGTGTATTTTGTATTTAAATTGCTAGTTAACATAATTTTTTTTTATTAATATTTAAGTGCCACTTACTAAAAGTAATCAGTCAGTTAACATTAGTTTCGGAGGATTGTTGCATTTTTCGATTGTTTTTTTGTTTTTTTTTGTGACCAAATCAGTTTCCACTTATCAAAGCTTAGGTAGCTTTACAGTCGCATATGAACCCACCACTTAGCCCCACAACATAAGCTTTATTGTCTCGTTTACTATTCTTTATTGCCTTGAACTGAGTAAAAAGCAACTTAAACATTTTACTTTTCTACTTCACAGTCTGTAGTCTATTTTTTTATTTTTTTATTACATAATATGGCCTTCGGCGAGCGCATTTCCATACAAAGGACCCACATAATCACACAAATGCATACATTTGCATATGTATGTATGCATATGTGTAAGCGAGTTTGCAAGAAAAACTTTCGCCGCTTAAGTACGCCTATGAATTTTGAGTTTGGAGTTTGAGAGAGTAAAGGTAACAGTAATTAAAAATAAAAAAGCATTAGCGCACAGGTAGGTAAATACCGGCGCGTCGGACGGTTTTCCACATTCAATGCTCGATTACTTCGATTATTTACAGCAGTGTTAATGACTTTTGTTACAAAATTAAATTTTTTGTTTTTATTTTCACTCACTTTCCGGCTTTTGTTTTTCATTTGCGTTTTTTTTTTTTGCTGTTGGTTTAGTTTTTGTTTACTAAAATTAAATTAAATTGTAGGACGTAGCATGTTGGTTGGCTTAAAAGCTAAGTGATTTTTTCTTACTTACACACATAAATACATAGATATCTAATAGTAATCGTAGTTTCTTCACTTTTCTATTGTAATTTAATGTTTAAATACATATACATATACATAGATATATCTATTTCTTCTTTACATACATATCACAATGATTTGTTGTTATACACTAAACTTATAAGGTAATCGTATTTCTCAGTTAAATTAGTTACATCTGCAGTGTATAATAAATGCATTTTCTATGCCGATGGTGTAACGGTTAGATGAGTGAAATTCGAATAAGAGTGAGTGCTGTAGTATTTACAAAAAAAAAAAAATGTGGAATGCCCTTTTATTAAGTAGTTACTGCTTTCAATTTGTTGCTCTGTTTTAAGTGCAAAGCAATGAGCTGCGTTCAAGCTTTCAGTAGTGTTGCGATGGGGCTGTCGAAAAAGGCAATGATACCTTTTGTGAGAAAAAGGGAAAAGAACTAATTCAAACAGTAATTCGAAATTATGTCTACTATTTTGAAACAATTTGTCTTATTTTCGTATTTCTGAGTTTTCGATGTCATGTAAATTTTTCTCACTAAGAGCTTTCATAAGACAGCTGCACGCGGCTGTCACCAAAAGCTGCATAAGCCATGGCTTTTAATTAAGCAGACAGGCTTTGAGGCCTTTGGTTGTATGAAAAGCTTTCCGCAAGGCAAGAACTTTTCGGCAAAAAACTGTATTTAAAATTTGAGATTTTTATATTTTATTGTTATTTATTTATTATGTATGAGTTTTAAATCCGTTTAATCGTATGGCGAAGCTTTTGTGATGAGGCTGCAGCTTTAATAGACTTTAATAGTTAAATCACAGCTTTCATGCTTAGATTAAGCTTTTATTTGTTTGAGCTTCAATATAAAAATATTGTTGTTGGCTAATTTTGTGTGCTACACCACCTATTGGAGAAGAAGTTTGATATTTCATGGTAAGGTTCAGCATTTATTTGTTTTGAGCTATTAGTTTAGAACTTCAATGTGCAAAACTGCACATTGTTGTTGGCAAGTGCAAAGCAAACACTCGACCTACATATGAACGTCAAAATATGTGGATATTTTTTTATACTTTTATGGTTTTATTCATGGAAAATAAAGTCACTTTCATAGAACTGTCGATTTATAAAGCATTTAAAAAATTCTTATTGGCAAATGCACACTTTATCGCATAAAAAAGTAAGGTAGGAAAACTCTAGCTTTCGAGAGCTTTTTAAAGCTGTCAGTCAAGTTTTTCTGTCAAAATTGGATTATCTTTTATTAAAAACCTCTCACTTTTTCAGTTTCCATGTCTTAAAACTCCTTCCCAGACATACTCGATGTCCTAAATAAATTTCGCCCTTTTCTTCACTACTTTTTCACAAAAATGTTCTGCTGATCACATTTATTTCCTTAATTTCGCCGTTGCTTCTTAGTTTGTTTGAATAACTACGCATTGCGCCTTTTTTATTTAATTTGTTCAATGCCCTGCAGTTGCTTTACTTCCATGTTTTTCATGTCTCGCTTGCATGTTTACGGCCAAGCTGAGCGTAACCAAAAAAAAAAACAGAAATTGCAAAAATAAAATGTTAGGGGTATTCACGTCAAATTCGTTACTTGGACTTTTCATTTTATTCCTGTTGGTCTGTCAAATGTTATATATTTCGTAACTGCTAGGTATGTCTCTTTATTTTTCCTGCAGCAATCAACAAAGAGAGGCATTAAAGAATTTAAAAAAATTAATCAAAGAATGGTGCTTAATGAAACCAGCAACTCCTTCGCGTTATTAGGTTCTTATCTGTTCGTGAGTAAGGAACCAATTACTGATTATTTAAATTTATCTGCTGAGGAATAAACTTGGCCAAATGCAAGCAGCTTATTCCTATATTGCCATATGCATAAAAAGATATACGAAATATACCTAAGTGACAAAGAAATGAATTGCTTGTGAATACCCCTCTTATTTCATGCAATAAACGGAACGAAATTCAATCGACAGTGTGCCTCGCGCAGTCAGTCGCACTCAGTTCGTGAACAACGCGTTCTGCTGTACATACAATCCCCCCTGTAGAAAATCTGACTAGCTCAGAACTAGCGTAGAACTAGACCATTTTTCCGACAGTACTAGTTCTAGCTCAATATCCAAGCAAGGCTTTCAACTGCCCACTTTTACGCGACGATGCCATTTTCGGTGGCAATTGTCGCCCAGCGCATTACTTTGCAACTACTTTTTAACCGGCTCCAGTTTGGACAGTTCTTTTATCAGAAAATGTTTTCCGTTTTTTTCTTTCCTTTTACAGATTCCATGTTTGTTGCATATTTTATAAAAAAAAATGTAAGCGGCACGCAACGAATTAAATTTATTAAATCTGAAAACTCAAAACTGCCTCCACCGCGATTGGAACGCGCGAGCAAAGACGCTTGAGTCGGACGTCTTCTCGCTGACCTAGGTACATTACACAGCAAGTTTCAACTGTCTCGCTCTGCAGCCGTTTTGCACCAGTTCAGAGACAGTCCTGCGATATGTAGTTCGGAACTAGCGCTTTGCCAGACTGTCTCTAAATTTTACTGCAGGGATACAACGAGTATACCAATGTCGAATATATATGTGAGTCACTTAGGTTTTGCGCGTTTTCGTTAACAACGATCGATATTTATTTGAAGCCACTCTTGGGCGCTCTAGCACGTTCGTTTGCCCAACTGTCTGTTTGTCGAGCTGGTTCGTGTTCATGTTGGCATTTGGTGTATGCCTGTTCTTGCTTTTTGAATTTGGTTTCTTCTACCTTTCTGTCTCCCCTCGTTCATCTGCAGCACCTACTTTCGCCTTCTCATAGTCTTTGTCTCCTGCTACGATACATTTGTTTACTGTTTTCTTTCAACTTTCATATACTCTACACTTCTTGTCTACCTTCATCTTTGACTGATCTTCAACACTATTCCATCACAATGCCTGGCACAATCCGGTCCGGTTCGAATTTGACTCTGCGCGGCGATCATTCTGCTGCCTGCCAACTGCTATGTGGCGATCAATTTGGCCGTTTCTTGCTACCTAATCAACTCTGCGTCTGTTTTGGGTTGTCGTTCGTCTTCAGCTGTCTGCAGTTGGTCTGTCTGGCTCACTTTCGAGCCAAGTGACTGTTTGACGCGTACGGCTCTCTGCTTCTACCTCTTCACCATAACTAAGTCTGTAGGCTATGCAGTTACCACCTTTTCAATTGTATTTATGTGTGTGTGTGTGTTTTGTTACCTTTTTTTGTGTTGATGTTCTTGTTGTTGTGTCTTTATTATGCCATTTTCTGTAGCCGGCCAACTTCGTCTGCATGTTTTTTTTTTTGCTTGTAGCGGCCACTTTGTTTTTGCGTCCGTCTACTTGTACATAATTTCTTGGCCTTCTTTTTTCTTCTTTTCCTACTGTTTTTTCCACAATTTTGCATTGAACTTTTCTGAACGGTGTCTAGTGGTTTTGCTCTCGTCTGGCTTTTTGGATTCGTGTTTTTTTTCTCCCCTGATTGTTGCATGCAACATCAATTTTCTGTATCACTATGGCGCACAGGAAACTCATAATGGGCATTGAGTAAGAAAAACAACTTGATATAAAACAAAAACAACAACTAAAGCAGGTACGACTGCAACAACACTCTGTCTTGCTAATGTAAAACGTGCATAATAATCAGCAACAACAACAACAACAACAACAACAAAGCTAGCCAGTACTAAGCGGGCAGCAGCAATATTGCCAATCATCGCATTACGCAGCAGCGGCGAGGCGACAGCGTACGATTGCGCGCGGTTACGCGGTACAACTTGATTATGGCGGCAGCATGCGCAGTCACAGATCCATTGCCATGGCCGACATAAAATTATTGTGGTGAAGTGGTTGCGGCTCTTGTTGTTGTTGTCATGTAAAATATGCACATTTTTGTGTGCGTTTCGGTTCACTGTACACTTTTTGTTTATTTTTTTCAGTTTGTGCCTTTCATCCATAAGACAGCATAGTTTTTGTTGCGGGAATTGGAAAATTTATATAATATACCCGAAATTAGAGCAATGAGAGTCTGTGAATTTGTAGGTAAGGCTAAAAAGAATGTGGAACTTGTAGGGGATCAGTTTTCAATTATGTATGTTGTAGAGGATCTGAGATGATTTTTTTTTTTTGATGACGTCACATATAACCTTGCATTGACTTTGAAGCCTTTAGAAGCTGGTAGTTTCACAAAAAAAACTATCTGTGAGATATATTCATACATTTAAATAAATATCCTCCCAAAAAAAGGTCTCAAAATTCTTCATTTTCTAAAATGTCTTGCTTTTTTTCTGAGATGTTGCGCTACGGGCACTCGCTTTAAATGTTGCTAGCTGTGTTCGAGTGACCCAAAATCTAAATCTAAATTTCAACTACTTGCAAGTAGCTTGCAAATTAAGCCAATCCCTAAAATCAAACTTAACTACAGCCTAATAAAACATCAGTCAGCCGCTCAGTCAGTGTTCGGTTCGTTGGTCATTCAGTCAACAAGCAGGCGACAACTTTAACGTGACTAACTGCTTTCTTTAAAAAAAAATAAAAAAAAATAAATAAAAATAAAAATAAAAAAGCAATCCTATTGGCTTGCAACGCTGCACACAAATACACACAAACAAATATGTTTAAGAAACACAACGAAAAAGTGCAAAATGCACAAAGTAATGGCAACATGTTGCCAATCGTCATGTTGCACGAAGTAAATGTTCAATGCCAACTGTATTCGACTATTGAATGTCGGTTTTTGGGACTTTTTTTTTGTTTTCAAAATAGATCAAATGTAGATACGTATACATTTATTTGCAGATTTTGGTATACATACATACATACATATGAGTATATATATACATACATGTGTATATATGCATGTATTTAAATGCAAGTGTTGCAATCAGCTCTTCTTTGTTTTCTTTCCTATTTTTTGCTACCTTTGTACTGCCTTTCAGCTGCCGATATTTTTGTTGCGCCGATTTGTTTGACCTGAATTTGGGAAATGTTTGCAAATCGCTGATCGAAAATTCAAAATGTGAAAGGCAAATGTTGCACACATCATGTTAGAGCATTGTATGTGTGTGTGTGTGCAAAGTGAATGCTAAGAACCTATGATCATAGCATTTTTTGTTTAAATTAAAAGCTATGAGCCAACTTAAAGCTAAGTTTGATGTATCATTAGCGATTCAATTAGAAATCTTCAAAGTAATACAAAGTCTATAAAGAATTTGCATCAGCAGCTCCTTTTTTGGGAGTAGGTAGCCTACTGTGACGGTGACGATTATCAAAAGATTTGGTTAAATTTCAATGACTCTACATTGCCTTTCTCTCGCGAAAGCCTCTCTAGCACACGACCACACTTTTGCTAAACACTTAAAATTTGCAGCTTTTTCTTATAGCCTTTTCAGCACTTATTGCCACTCACCTCCTACTCGTTACCTGGCACTCATCATCGCCTGTGCTACCCGGCGTCTAACACATACATACTTATGTACACTTACATTACACACAGACACACACTACACGTGCGGTAGACCGCATCCCTTTGCTGTGGCCCATCTTAGATGTGCACGCCCATACGACCGGAACTCTGTGAGCTACCGCCCGTCGCCGATGACTGCGTCGTAATGCTGCGCGGACTGGGGCACGGCGGTGGCGGCAGCTGTTGCTGTTGTATGCTACTGGGTTGCGCGCCCACTCCCGGCGCTGTGGGCAGTAGCTGCTGCGTCTGCTGTGGCAATTGCGCGCACTGTCCTGGCGCACCCATTAGCATTGCCGCTTGCTGCTGTTGATGTTGTTGCTGTGCCGCCGCGGCAGCCGAGTTGTTTCGATTGTGATTTTGCCGGCTGCCGTTGATGTTGTGATGCATTTGTGAGCGAAAGCTGGCGTGCTGCAGCTGATGGTGTTGCAGCGCCGCTTGCGGGTGCATGTGATGCAGGTGATGGCTGCCGGCGCCAATGTTGCTGCCAACGCCACTACTGCTGCCTGCCGAGAGCATATGATGCTGATGGTGATGATGTGTGGGTGGCAGCTGGGCGATGGGCATATGTACGCCTACGCCGGTGCAGCCGGCGACACCAGCACCTGCATTGCGCATGCGCCGTTGATTGTTGGGCACATCGGGCAGCGCGAAACGCAGCTTTTCCCAGAATAGTTTGTCGCCCCACTGTAGGTATGTATTGGTTTTCAGATAGAGACGCAGCTCAGGATCGATGTCCTTTTGTGGCACTTCGCCAAGCACGATTAGGATGAGACGTCGCCGTCGATCACGCAACACAGACTGATGCGCCGATTTGAACTCGAAACGGCACCACTCTGACTTGATGAAATTCTCGGAAAGCACCATAATGGTACGTCGTGAGGTGTCGATTGCTTGTACGATGGCATCGGCCATGTAGCCGCCCACCGGGAAGTCGCGATGATGTAGACATAGCTTGTAACGCGTGTCGCCCTGTTCTAGCATGGGCGCAAGATCTTCACAAACAAATGCCTCGTCTTTGGAGCTGTACGAGATGAAGGCGTCAAAGAGTTTTTCCCGTTCGTTCTTATCGACATCGCGATTGGCATTGCAGAACAGCCGTATGCCGAAGCGTGAGTGACACCAGACGCGCATTTCTTGGCGAAAGATGAACACGAGCAGCGTGCAAATGATCACGAAGACAAAGCTGGTCAGTATGGCTACAAGTATGGGCACATACTCGTGCATAGGCGGCTGCGAGAGTATCATTTTCGTGGATGTCATGTTGCCGTTGATGATCACGTTGTCGTTGGGGTCTGCGCCATGACCGATGCCACCGTTGTACTGTCCAGCGCCGAGCGGCGATTGCTGCTGTGGTGCCTGCAGGCCACCATTGCAAGCGACGAAGTGGGTTTGTGCATCCAGCAGCGGATCGCCGCTGAGATAGATCGCTAGCTGCTCGGGGCCAGGCTGCTGCGCCAGCAGAGCGCTGTTGTTACTGCCAGCCAAAGTGTCATTATTGCCAGCAAGTAGTGAGCAACGCAGCTTCACCTTATCCTGCACTGCCTCGTGTCGGTTAACGTAATCTCGCAGTTTGTCGATAAAGTCACAACTGCAAGACCAAGGATTACCAGCTAGGCGCAGCTCATTCAGATAGGAAGGCAGAAAATTCCAAACGGCAAATTCTGTGATGGCGTTGTGATCGAGACGCAAAATCTTCAGGTGATAGAGGTGGGTGAAGGTGAGCGTGTCAATGCTGGCTATGGCATTGTGCTGCAAGTACAATTCCTGCAAATTATCCAGTCCTTGGAACTCATTACCATTCAGCTGGCGCAGGTTATTGTGGTTCAACTGCAGCACTTCGAGCTCTAGCAAGCCGTAGAAGGTGCGATTATGCACAATTTCGATACGCGAGTGATTTAGATGCAGCACCTTTAGCCGTTTGCGTCCAATAAATGCGTGGCTTGAGAGTTCGCGGAAGTTGTTGCCGTCCAAGTAGAGCTGTGTCGCATCCATTGGTATATGCGATGGCAGTGTGCGGTCGTAGGCGGAACGCGAGCAGTCGACGACATTCGATGTCCACGATTGGTCGTGGTAGCAAGCGCAGCGATCTGGGCACTCCATTTTGCAGTCGCATGCATAGAAGTCACAACAGTGGCATAGCGCAAAACAGTGCGCCTCGTATTTGCAGAGGAACTCATTTGACTTGGCCTCGATGAGCGGCACGTGCGTCTTACCGCGCGCATACGACAACTTGCAGTAGATCTGATCGAGATCCATGAGTTGCGGTTGCGTGCGTGACTCGGTGTTGACCTTCTGCAGCCAATCTAGATTGCAGTCACACTGGAATGGATTGTGGCCAATGTAGAACTCAGGTATGTCCTTGTCGTCGGGTATGGGCGAGAGCCGCAGAGCATTTGGCTCCAGTGTCGTGAGCCGATTGCGTATGAGGTCGACGCGCGTCAGATTGGGTTTCTTGAAGAACGTGTACGGTTGTATTTTGCTGATCATGTTATCGTTCAAGTACAACACTTCCACGCTATTCGGTATTGAGCTAGCTGTGATCTCACTAAGCATATTTGAACTGGCATCAAAGGTACTCAGGCTCAGTTCATTTTCGATTTCGAAGTAGTTTCCTAGCTGCGTGATGCGATTGGCACGCACATCCAGCCATTGTAAACCGGTCGGTATGTGCGAGTAGTCGAACTTCTCCAGACGGTTATCCGAAATGTTAAGCCACACCAAATTGGGCAACTCGGTGAACAAGCCATCGATGCTTTTCAGATGGTTGCCATCCAGCCGTATGGCCTGCAGCTGTGTGTTGCGATGCAGTGCACCGCCTTCGATGCTTTTGATTTTGTTGCCGGACAAATTCAGTATCTGCAGCGATGTCATGCGATCGAACACGCCGCGCCGTATGTACTCAATGGCATTTTCGGTCAGTCGCAAGCCGTACAAGTTGCTCATCGCCGAAACGCTGGTATTTTCAATGTTCGTAATTAAATTCTCGCCAATGTCCAATGTCTTCAGGAGCGGCACAGCGCTAAGTGCGTCCGGTATGGTCTGCAGCTTATTGCCATTCAAATGCAAATCCTGTATGCTAGAGCAATTGCGCAGCGCTTGCGTGTCTATCTTGGCGATGCGATTGTAGTCGAGACTCAGCACAAGTATGCCGTAGAGGCCACGCAGCGTGTGCGGGCCGATAGTGGAAATGCGATTGTTCGAAAGAATGAGCGTGTGTAAGTTGGCCAGATCGGCGAATGCACCGTCCGGTATGTGATCAATGTAGTTCTCCTCTAACTTGAGTATCTGCAGCGAGCTAAGTGAACGGAAAATGCTGGCTTCCAGTTTGCTTATCTTATTTGCAGACAAATCAAGCAGCACCAACCGCTTCAAACCGACAAAGGTGGCAGCGTTTACCCACTGTGAATTCAGCTCGTTCGCCGACATATCCAACACCAGCAAATCGGCCAGATCGCTAAATAAACCTGGCGCAAGCACATTAATACTGTTATTCTTCAGATAGATCTCCTTCACATACTTGGCTTCGGCGAAGAGCTCAGGTGGCAGTGAAGTCAAACGATTGCCGGAGAGGTCAACAACGGAAAGCGATACCAGTCCCTCGAATGCGCGATCTGCAATAAAATTCATGCTGTTGCGCGCCAAATTCAGGTTGCTCAGCCGACCCAAGCCAGAAAAGATTGCCGATGGCAGGTTGGCAATCTTATTGGCGCTCAGATCGAGATGTGTCAGCGATGAGCCGCATATGCGCGACTTGCGCGTACTAAGCGAGGCGCTAAAATGAAAATTTCCAATATCCTGTATCTCGTTGTGTGAGATATTCAGATGCGTCAGCACCTTCAGTGGACACACCATGCCATCTGGTATGAGCCAAATATTATTTAAGCTCAAATCTAAGCGATCTAGTTGACGAAATTCACTAAAGCTGCTGCTGGCAATATCCAGCGACATGGTGGACCAGTCACCGTTGTGCGTGCATATCGTTAGATTACGCAAATCCTGCAGACCACGGAACGAGCCCTCTGTGATGTTGCCTAGCTTACAGTATTCGATGGTGAGTGCGCGCAGCTCCACCAACGAGCGGAACGAGTCCGGGCTGAGGCTGCTCTGGAAGAAGAGTGCATCGTTGCACTCTAGCCGCAAGCGTATCGTATTCTGCGGCTGTATGACGCTGAAGTTGGTGTTCTCCAGCTCGGAGTTGATGGTGCGCAGGTGGCAGACGAGCGTGATGTCCACCTCGCTGGTGCCGGACCAGCGGCACTCGTCGGGCGCCTGATAGAGCACTGTTTTGCTAAGCGCCGCGCCGAGCACAGGTATTATGACGAATATGAGGACGGAGAGGATCGTCTTGGAGATTAGCGTCATTTTCGTTGACATTGCGTGGTGTTTTTTTTTGTTGGTTTTGGAATTTTAGTTTGGTCGTTTCAGTGGTAAATTTTTTTTTAACTTTTCATTAAATACGCTGATTTGTGCTTTTTTGATTTTTTGCACAATTGCAACACAAGCACACTCACTCACTAACGAAATCGCACACGCTTCAAGGTGTTGCTGATCTTGGCAAAATGTTATTTCTTTAATTTGCGCATTTTTTTTAATTTATGCGTTTATTGCTGTTTTAAATTTTTTTAGTACCAATTTTGTGCCACTACACCATTTTGTGTTTTTCAATTTTTTTGTTTTCGTTTGTTCGTAAACTTTTTGCTTGCAGTAAGTTCAGCGAGACGCGCAACCGGAAACCCGTAATCCAAGTGGTGTCTGCGGCGTACGAAACCGAATTGTAAACGTTTAAATTAATTCGTTGAGTTGGTCAAATTTTTGTCAAAACACATTTGCCTTTCATATATTTTGAGTAGAGCTTATTTCGGTTTATCTTTCTTTCTTATTAGCTAAGTTCAGCACTAGCACTTTCCTTATTTACTTTTTTTCGTTTGCACTTCCAATATATGTAAATATATACATATACTCTTTTTTTTATTCAGATCTTGAAGTTCTTCCGACATGCACAGCGAACAC